CAGGCCCTAAGTATTATTTATTTGTGTATTGAGCTTTGCTTGTTGTGTTGCTGTGTATGTAAGTTTGCATCACTTTTTCATTAGTTTATTTCGGGGGTGGAGGGGTATTTTATCCCCTCTCCTTCTGTGGGAATGAACGAATCACCTTAATTTTAAATCAGACTCATTGCATATTGTTTCTCAACTTATTTTGTTGAGGGCCTTGTGGGGTGCTGCACTGGTTGACCCTATACACTGTACTTTGTATTTCTGATTTACTTATATTTATGTAGAATTAGCAACTGAGAAATCACTATTATCAAAAAGTGTTAGAAATCCTTCAAACACAAAATGTCAGTTTGCTGAGTGAGCTCTTTTTGTTAGTGTGGTTACCATGGACACCAGATGCTCTCTTTTATTTATTTTTCCTTATCTAGTTCAGTATGACAGGAGAGAATAAACAAATTAATCTAATATACAATAAATGACAGAAATGCCATATAGAAATAATGTGAACAGAGTATTTTATGGCGTGTTTGCTCATTTAGAAAAGGAAAAGCATAGATTTTAGATTGCCTCAAAAATATACACGCTGCTGTACTCTAACTTTCACTATCAGTGCTTTTAAATCTAACAAGTTAAGGTTCCCCTGCTCACCCCCAGGGAGCTTCTGCAAATTCCAAAGAATGGCAGTGTCTTGCCAGTTGTTACTCTTGGAGCACCATCTAATGGATGAGTTATGAAAGATCTTTTTTCTAGCAAGACAAGCCAAAGTTCTTTACATTCTTGTCATTTGATACCCACTCATCAGCATTAATATACAACCAAAGCCAGTTATTCCAAATCCCAGTTAACCAAAACCCTCAATTAACCAAAATGTGATCATGTCCCTGATATCAATATGTGGTTCACAGAGATTCCCAATTTTAATGTTCCTGAAAATTTTTGATTACTTCGGATTACATTTTTTTCTATAAAAACTTTTAATTTTTGCAATATTTCTAATATTCCACAGGGCAGAATCTTAACTATTAGCTGTCCCTGCTTTCTCCTCCACACAGGTAGGTTGTTCCCCTACCCATGACCTGTCTAATCAGCAGACATCCCGTGATGTTTCTGTCGCCTGCCCCTGCAGCCCCCAAAAGTTCCTGGTTCTCTTGCTGCAGTGAGAATGAAGTTTCTCTCTCCACTGGCAGCTGAGTAACATTCTCCACGGTCCTGCTGGGGAATATGTTCTTTTCAGGTCTCTCCAAGATCCTAGCCAGTTGTAGCACCTACAGGCTCTTGGAAGCCAGCAGCACAGACATGTCCTTAGCAACCAATACCACATGCCTCTTCCATCTCCTACTCAGCAAGTGCCTGCTAGCCAACATGCCTCTGTGTTTGCAAACTAAACAGGGATGGATTTTTGCCTCACTCAGAGTCTTGTTTTTTCTGCCCAGTCTGTTTCTACTCCTGTTTTACTCTTCTTCCTCTGAGTCTCATTTTCTTTGCACAGGGACCAATTCAACCCATGGTCGCCTTACCTGGGCGTGGGGGAAGCTCAGCTCTTGTCTACAATGGGAAATAATATAAAGAGTTATGTAGCATAAAGAGTTATGTTATCTTGGTATCTCAACTTCTGGGCACCCCAAGTCCATCAAGTCTTTCCATGAACCATCTCCACCATATCTCATGTCCCATCTGCCATGCCTACCCTCCTCTGTAACACTCAGTGCCTGATGCCACAGGACCATCCCTATGGTTCCCATGGATTTCTAAGGAGTTCTCTTCAGCAGGGTGGAAGTGGGACTCTAGTGGGACTCCAGGAGTCTGGAAGGATCCCAGGAACCTAGCAGAATCTGTGATGGCCATTATTGGTTGCACCCTTGCCTCATCCGTTTTGGGAATCCTTGCTAAATAGCAAAAAGCAGTTATTCAAGAGAGGCACTGTCTGCTAACCAGCCAGGTTTCCCATTGCTTGATGCTACCCTGTGGTGAATAAGGAATAGTGACCAATGGACCAGTGAATATTCATACTCAAAGACCTTTGAATATAATTATTATGTCTTAGTGAAGAAAGTGCACTGAGTGTTTCCTGTCCCCATTGTGAACTCTCAAATGGTTTCCCTGTCTAGAAATCCTTCCTGCTAACTGAGATCATAGCTTCCCTACCTATGTCACTGGCGATCCCTTTAATGGACTTGCCATTGGGTGTCTGAGTTTGTATTATAAGTGCTTATTTGCACCATATCTTTTGTGTAAAGCATTCTGATGTCTGAATCCAAACTCTCTACCTGGTTTATTAATCTGTTATTGTCAAAGCTTCCAGTGCTTCAACATTCTTGTTTTGCCAAAGTCCAGACATCAATTTGGCAGGCCATTCTTTTACCTATTCCAGTATTTTCCCCCACAACTCTTTTAGGAATTCCCTTCTCATGTCCTCTTTACTGTATTAGAAGAAATGATAAATACATCCTTATGTCTAAACATAAATCATATTTATTTTCTCTCATTTTTGGCACAAGCTAGTTTTTGTTCTCCATTAAGTACTTTGGAATGATAAGGGTTTATAGTACTGTATGTACATTTAAATTGCTGTGGCTCTTGTTATGGTAACATTGTTGTCCTAGCAACATGACTTGTGCAAATGGAAGGCCAGAGTTCACATGTGTATTTTGTACAAATTTTGGAAGACATAGGATGGATCAATTAGTCATCCATTTTATATCATCCCACATAGAGTAACCTTTCATAAGTATTAACTGCACTTAGCCATTGCACCTAACTGGAGATCCAATAGCATTCAAAGGCCCAACAAAACACTGTTAACTCCTCTGCCCCCTTGCACTGCTGATTTAAAAGTCATGCACATATTCCATCAATCTGCCATTTCTTCCAGTTGCTTTCCTCAGCCAATAACCATTACTCCTCTCTTATCCTGGATGAGTCTTAGCCAAGTAACTGTAGTCCAAATTCCAAACTTGGCTGCATGCTTGTAAGTAATTGCACCATCCAGATCTGATGAAACTGAGACATAGAACTGAGTGTCCTCTTACTAACTCTTCTAGCAGCCTCACGTTAGAGGTAATTGGAAAAAAATTCAAAATAGATTTTTGTCAGAAAAAACTGTTTTGACTAAACCAATTTTTTTAATGAAATGGTTTTGATTAAATTTCCCATGAAAGAAAAAAACATTAAAATGATTATTTTTTTATTTGGAAACTTTTTTTCTTGAAAATTTCAAATTTTTGTTTCAAAATTCCAAAATTTTATGATACAGGTTTTCATTTTTTATATTTTTAGATTGCATTACAACACAAACAGGAGACACTTTGATCTAGAAAATATATTTCAATCAGTACTGAGTAACATCTGCCCTTAATTATTTTTAAAATAAAATAAAAATAAAGAATATTTCAACTGATATATTGTCATGAAATAATGTAAAATCATAATTATAATGATGATAAAATATAAAAATGAGAAAAAACATAAAGTAAATTCCAAAATGAGTTTTGGATTTTCATTTTTGCAAGAAATTTCAAAATATTTGTTTCCATTCCAAATTGGAAAAAAAACAAAATTTTGAAATTTCCCCCGAAAAATGCAATTTTCGGGACAGGGTGATAATTTGCAAGATTGGCCACAACAAAAGATGGTGAGGGGAGGGTTAAGCAGATGCTGTACGAACCCTTCTTAAGGAATTCCTATCACCTTGCTTTCCAAATACACCTATAATGGACCCAAGATCTCCCTTCTAAACTTCACCCGCCAAGAAGTACAAAGACCCAATATGCAAATTGTAATTGGAAACTCCCTCAGCACTTCAGTGAGTGACACTGATTGAAACTTAAGCAGAGAAGATTTAACATTAGTTCTTTCCTACTCCACACCAAACCATGGTTCTGCTACCTGTGAGGCTGGTAATCCAGTCTGATTTGTGTACTCTTATTCATGGAGTAGCTGGAAGACTTCAGAAATTGTGAAACTTTTTATACTGCAGCTGAGAGGAGCCAACACTCCGAACCCCTCGGCCTCACCCCCACCATATGAATTTTGTTGCATGCACCAATATGGAGGTGATATGTCAGACATCACCTCCATATTGGTGCTCATAACAAAATTCATTCCGCACATGCATGGGGAAAAAATAGAGGGGACGCTGGTCATCATGATGCTTTTTTATTTATTATTATTATTATTTTATTTTATTTATTATCATTAGAAGTAAGGCAAACAGGTGCGTTCCATCTCTATGTTCTATGGGCCAAACTCTCTGCTGGTGTGACTCTGCTGAAGTTAGCAGAGAATTTAGCAATAGGTTTCTGTAAGAAGAAGAAAATGTAGGCAGAATATCTGGACAAGTTGCTGACGGTGAGATCTAGCAGCCTATGGAATAATCTGCCGAAAGACTTGATGGAAGCCACATTCCTTGACGTCTGGATGAAATCATAGGAAATGTATAATGAGGAACAATCATGCACTAGCAGGAAGATAACTGAATGAGAATGTTCCAGCTCTAGATTCTATGTACAGTAAACTATATTAGACACTTCAATATTTTAAATCCAGTGTGACTTGCTTACATACAGATAGATTAAATAGAGAGTAATACATGTCTCATAAGTTTGTTACCAAGTTAACCGTGATCTTTTCTTGCAATACGTTGTAGGCAACATAAATTATGTCAAAAATGCCATATCTAATGTGTGAATGGACATGTGATATTTCCATACATAGTTCATACAGTAAGTTTTCTTCTTGCAATATTTCCTTTAACATGAATGGAGCTTTCATACAATGTTTGAACAAATGTCTGAGCATATTTTCAAAGGTAACAAGTTGAGAAGGTTGGCCAAAGTTAATTGGACTGAAATGCTCTGGTCTGACTAAAGATTTTGGGTTCAATATAGAGGTATCTGGGTGAAATTAAGGGTCTGTGATATGCAGGATGTCAGACTAGATGATCTATAGTTTCTTCTGGCCTTATAATTTATGAAACGATGAAATAATCATCTTTTTCTTCTTTGAATATCCAGTCCATGAGCTTAATAGAGATTGGGAACCCTTCCCAGAGTTTGGAGAATGTGTGTCGCTGGGCCTATCTACAACAGAAGCCTGACACTGCACATGCAGAATATCATGACCATGCTATTTTTCTCACAAGGCAGGATTTTGGCCCATCTGGCATGCAAGGTAAGGCATATGCTGAGTGATCAAATGACTTATAAATATTACAATTACTGATTGGGGTTTCTTCCGCCATTCAGAAAAAGCTAATTTAGCTTAGGAGCCACTAACATTTATCCTTAGTGTGAGTGTTTTGCCAAGTGCTATTTGTTTTCAGGTGACCTACGCTAGGAATACATTCGTTTCTCATTGTTCTATTGTTTTACCTCTCTATTTCAATAGCGTTATTTTGGGGCACATGTAGGGTGACCAGACAGCAAGTGTGAAAAAGCAGGATGTGGAAGGGCGGATAATAGGTGTCTATATAAGACAAAGCCCCAAATATCAGGACTGTCCCTATAAAATCAGGGTATCTGGTCACCTTAGGAACATGTCTTTACTCTTATTCAAGCCAAAGAAATCTTATTGCTTTGATCCCTGTATGCTTATGCCTAGAGTTGAATCTCAAATAATGTTACATTCTTATGTAAAGACCAGTGTGTCTCAAGACTAAACAGCCTGTATTCCCTCAAGAAAAATGGTCACTCAATATTATTAGCGAACAAGGGGAAATACTCTAGCGGCATTATAACATAGTAGTGGCAATGTGGTCTACTGGTTTGAACATGGGGCTAGGAACCAGAAATTTTTAATTTATAATCCCAACTCTGCCATTGAGTCATTATGGGTACATCTACACTGGAATAAAAGATCTGCAGCGTGGCTGTAGGCACCCAGGTCAGCTGACTTGGACTTGTGGGGTGCAGGCGGTGGGGCTAAAAATCACCTTGTAGCCATTCGGGCTCTGGGACCCTCCCCCATCATTGGATGTCTACATCCCACAGCCCGAGCCCCACAAGCTGGAGTCAGCTGACAAGGCCAGCCGTGGGCATTTAATTGCTGTGTAGCCATACCCTACGTGGCCTTGGAGAAATCGTTCAGCCTTATTGTGCCGGTTTCCCCATCTGTACCAAATGGAGATAATAATGCTTGCTTACTGACATCACAGGGCTGTTATGAGGATTCAGTGTTTAGGGCCAAGATTGTCCACAGTATTGTTCAGGATAGAATTTGGCCCCTAATATTCATTCAGTGCTTAGAATAATGTAAAGCACTTTGTGGCTGTTAAGAACTAATTTTAAACATGAATAGTGTAAAGTGGGTCTAGGAGGACATGTTAGTTTACGACATCTAGCAGCATGCTTCTCCCTTTCTGGAAGCCTGATGGTGACACTTCTGTTAGTCTCACTTCTGTGCTGCTGCAAGACCACAAGTGCCACAGCAGTAGAGATTAGATGAAGGTGTTGTATAAAGAGTTCTCATAAACATTCTCTGACGCAGATTCACTTACTTCTTGAGTCATGCTTTCTCTTTTTAGGCTATGCTCCAGTTACTGGAATGTGTCATCCTGTACGAAGTTGCACCCTCAACCATGAAGATGGTTTTTCCTCTGCATTTGTGGTGGCCCATGAAACTGGGCATGTGTAAGTACTTTGAAAAGCTCTATCTTATTATGTCTTTGATGCTGGGGACTGTTTGTGGTGTTGGGAAGGTGTGTCCTTGTGGTTTAGATACAAGACTAAAGAGTTAAGCTTAGATTCCATTCTTAGCTCTGACAAAGAAATCCTTTGTGACCTTGGACAAACCCATTAAACACTCTCTCTCAGCTTTTGCAGCTGTAAAATGGAGACATGCTTACCTACGTCACAGGCTCATTCTGAGGCTAAACTGATAAAGGCCTACAAAATGCATTCCGATCTCCTGGCAGAAGAGCAAAGTATTTATTGTTATGCAAAATAATTTCTTTGCTATAGCGGAAGACATGAGTCTCGAAAGCAGTTCTCAGTAAATATAGTCACATCTTCTATGTGTGCATCACCTTCTAGTAATACTGTGTAACACCTCAAAGAGGGTACAGTGTATGTTACAGCATAATAACATATGCCAAGAACTACATCCACTTCCTAATACATTAATTTGAAGGATACAACTATTTTATTTGCTGGTGTAGTAAGAACCAGTGTCCAGGCAGGGAGCTGGTAAATCTTTTGTTATTTTAGGATGACTCAGTTTCTTCAGGAATAAAGCACATTCATTTAGATGCCCTCATCTCCTCAGTGGAATCACAAATCCCAGAAGTCTTTTCACTGAATGGGGCTTTACTGTTCCTACATTAAGAACACTTGTCAGAGTCCGGTGAATCCTACAGTGCATATTAATTAAATAGGGACATGGAATTGATTCCTACATGGATTTGGTTCTCATATCACTAACTCTTGGCTTCAGCATTTCAGCAACTAGGAACATCTGATCAGAATGGATGATACATCACTAAAGATGTCTTTAGCTTTTGAAATCATCTTTAGTCCGAACATGTTACCATACAGTTAGTTATCAGTGGTGTGTCTCCTGAAAGAAGACCCCAGTATCAGTCAAATTTCAGTCTCAGAACAATGCAGTAGAACCCCCTGACACAGGGCAAGGGGGAGATTGGTTTTGTTTTGTGGGGGTTTTTTTTAATAAAGCAAAAAGGAATAAAAAGTTGCTGTCACTCGGGGTGAAAGTTTTAAAAGCTTCCTAAGTCACTTAGGAACCTAAGTCCAGTTTACTTTCAGTGGGATTAAAGATCCTAAGCCACTTAGGTCTTTTGATTTTACCCTCGATGAAAATACGCTTGTTCTCCTATCTTCTGTTCTAGATTAGGCATGGAGCATGATGGCCAGGGCAACAGGTGTGGGGATGAGGTCCGAATGGGGAGCATCATGGCCCCCCTTGTCCAGGCTGCGTTCCATCGTTTCCACTGGTCTCGCTGTAGCCAACAAGAGCTGAACAGATATCTACAGTGAGTAACTTATGAATCTGACTCTCTTTGGCTAGGAAGTTTTTAAAAGCCCCTCTGAGAGTCATATTTGAACTTTGTGCTTTTATTAGCTACTAAGACTGGGTTTTAAAAAATCCCAAACCCCATCCTGCTGGGAACAAGACACTTTTCCAGGAGATGCAAATAACAAAGGCTCAGATGGACTATTCATTTAAGTACAGCTATTAGTGTTATTGAAATTTGATAATATGTACACTGTCATCCTCGAATCTACAAGCAAATATGATTACTGGTCTTGTTACCAACTTGCTTCCTCCCACCCTGCAGCTGATAGAAAACCTGTCTCATTAATCTGAGTAACACTCTTCGGTTGTAAGGGTAGCTGGAGAATTGGATGCAACTCTGGTTGGTAGAAGAACATATCAGCAGCATTTCCAAGTACTAAAGCTGTGCTGAGCCAGTTGCATTGTACTGGGATGCTTAAGGAGGAAAGCATGTGGCCTTCCATGTACGTGCAGGGCTCCCACTGACTTCAGTGGCAGCCTCTCAAGAACACCAAAAGGAAGAATTTGGCCCTAAGGCTTTCTTTCTATGATTACTTTATCTCTAAATACCCTGTCATTACAAAGGCCAGTCCATTTCCCATGCTTTCTAACAGCCTCCTCTATGTTCCTTTCCTCTTTAAAGAGAAACCACCAACTTGAAACTTAGTTTCAAAAGGCCAATAAAAAAAGAACTTGGTCTGCTTCTGTGTCCTCCTGTCAATGGATGTGTTTTTAAAAATCGCATTTTTCCTATTTTAAAAAAAAATCTTTTTTTCTCTCTGGTTGCTGTGTGAAAGACATACGAACAACAAGGGAAAACCTATTAACTGAATATACTGGGGAAACTCTGAAAATGCTTAGAAAAAAGTTGAAAAATACATGAAATAAACCAATTAAAAGAAACCACTCTTTATTTTCTCACTTCTTTTTAAGTTACGGTATATGAAGTGTTACTTTTGGCAATAATAAGTAAAAAATTATGAGGGGAAAGTTTTTTCAGTTAAATCCCTTTAAGCTATTTGTGTTAAATAAAAGTAATCTGGTCTAGAGCTCTGATTTATTTTTTAACCACAGGGTACAGTAAAATGCTTCTATGAATAAAAATATGGCACAGATAAGAGAGGAGTATGATGTCTTGTTCTAAAGTAGACCTAGACTCAAAATTCTGTCCTTTGTTCATTGAGATCATTAGAATGACCTGAATAATTGCCAGATATAGGACACTCCTAGTCTTCCTACAGAATCCACAAGGAATTTGATCCTAATTGGACTTTTGGTTACCATTTTTCACAGCCAAAGAACTACTCTTGTGAATATGATGAATAACATGAGAGGAAAATTATGGCCATAAAAACAGAGAAATTGGTTTGTTAAATGTAACTAATTTTGTGATGTCCCCAGATAATACTAGATTACATGTGAACATAGCAGGGATACTGTCCACCATGTGACACTTGAGAAAGTAGCTTTGAAATTATGAAATTCACAGTTACACGATAGTCAACCATTACTGCTGGAAACAGTTTGGATCCTCTGTGCTCCAGGAGTCTTCCCCATGTATGTTTCAAGTTCGTTGTAGGCAATGTGTTTGCAGTATTACTAGTGTTTAAGATACCAGGAGAATCTGTAATAGGAACACCTCCCTCCCTCCCTCCCTCCACACACACACACACACACGAAGGAAGGAAGGAAGCCCTGTCAGAATCCTGTAAAGAGAGGAAAGCTGTCAGAAGAAATATAAAGATGGAACAGCCCTACGGTTTAATAAAGCAAAGGCCAAAAAGTACATTTGCTTGTACGTGAACTTGCTTCTCCTGGTCTAGTGTATAGGAATTTATTATGGAGCTCAGCAATATTCATGGGTGGCAGTCCTGACTTTTGGTTCTAAAGCTTTACTTGAAAGACAGCCGGCAAGAAGAAATTCCACAAATGGAAAATTAATTAAATGTTTTCTTTTCTTCTCAGCCTCATTTGTAGAGGATTCTTTCTCGATTCTTTTCAAATAGGGACTCTGGGGAGTTACAGAAATATACCTGCAAGCTAAATGGAAATTCTAATGGAAAGACATAAGAAAAATAAAAGGTCGAATGCTGTCCCATGTTAAATGCAGATACAGCATGGTAAATACCATGTAAGCATAACTGAAATACTAACTGTTCTTTATGAACCAGTATCTGAGAAATTATACCCTGTATTTTGTTTGGAATGAAAATTTAAAGAAATCACAAAAGCTATAAAAGTCTCACATTCCCGTCTATTACTGTAATTTTTGCCTATTGCAGTTCCTATGATTGTCTGCGTGATGATCCGTTTGAACATGATTGGCCTCCCCTTCCCCAGCTGCCAGGAATTCACTACTCCATGAATGAGCAGTGCCGTTTCGATTTTGGTTTGGGCTACATGATGTGCACAGCTGTAAGTACTTAGCTGAGTTCTGCTATTCCTCATCCAGGCGTGTTGTAATTGTTCTTGAAATGGCCTTAATAAGGACATTATAGTTAAGGCTTCCGATTTTAGGTTTTAATGGTTAAACACTGATAAAAACAGCCTGATGAGGGAAAAAAAGAAGAAATCAGTGATTATCCAATAAACACGGGGAAAAACACCAGAAATGGTTACTTGCATCTAAGGGCTTGTCTACAAAGAGCAGTATTGTGGACTATGGAGGTGTGATTTCTAAAGCGCACTAATATGTTGCATATTAATTGGTCCATGTAGACCCTACTTGTGCACACTAAACGTTCTGCAGCACACTTTAACCTAGTGCTACATTAAAGTGCACAAGGGAACATTACAAAGAAATTATTCATTACAGTATATATTGCTGTCATGAGTAATGTAATATATGTGACAGATATTGCAACTACATGCAGTATCTTTGGAGAAACATTGGATTACGGTTATGAATGATTTATGTATCGCTGTAGATTATATGCAGTTCTGGCGGCGGGGACGGTTGTGTTTAGCTCCTCCAGGAACTAATAACAGTAGGGGGTGATTAAGGTGAATCACTCAGGTTGTAAACACCTCCAGAGAGGTACCATCCCCTAAGGAGGCTTACGTATCCTGGTTCAAATTGGGTTTTCCAAATACCAATAGACAAAGGAGGGGCTTTTGGCATAACAAAGCTTCATTTAAAATGACTCAGGGCCTTCTTTCTGATCCAGGACCTTCTCTCCAAGGGGAACCCCACCCTTGCAGAAGGGTTGGAAAGACTTTGGCCTGCTAGGGCCCCATAAGACTGATGGGTGACTCCTGGTGTGTTTAGTGTGTATTTAAATCTGTTAATTGTTTTTATTGCATTTTCTCTGTAATGTTTTTGCATTAAGAAAAAGGACACTTGCTTAGACAGAGCTGTGTGATAACTTGTAACTGCTGGCAATATGCTGGTCATAGCCCTTGGAGAGAAAGCACAGGTTCTAGCCTTTAGGCAAACTGGCTTGCTGGAGGTATCACAGTGTAAGTCAGGGAGCTGTGCAGCCTAACTCCTGCCTCTCTCCTGCCCGCCCCCACCCCCACCCCTGTTCAGAAGAAAGTGAGACAAGAGTCCCTACCCATAGACACATGATGGCTGGAGGCCTGACACCTGAATGGGCATGCCTGGAGTAGAGCATGGAAGTGGGAAATATAGGTGAAATTACCCTGAAGCTGTGACAATATATATTACCCATTACAGTATATACACAGAGAGAGCCCCCCCCAAACCTCTAACTTTTGGACATCTACATAAAACTCAAAAATTGCTACCAATAAACCTTGAAAGTGAAATTAATAAACCCTGAAAAACAGAAACCCTAATTATAGTGAAGCTGCCATGAAGTATATTGTGTCCAGCTAACTATAAACAAGGAATAATACACTAACTTTGATGTGATAAGGAAACTCCTTTTAATCTTGTTGGGTCTTTTATTTTTTTTTAATCAGAGGTCAAGAAATTATTATGCTTTAATTTAATTAGCGGTTCCAGGCTTGAAACACAAAGCCTGCTATGTCATTTAGCCTGCCACGCACAGTGCTGGTGTCTGCTTACTTCTTTTTTTGCAAAACTCCCACCTAGGCTAGAGAGGAACAATAGTGGTTTTCATCACTTGTTTGTTAAATGTTTCACGCTTACTGCTCACATAAGGCAAGATGCTGTATCTTGCACAAAAATAACCAATTCTATTGAAAGGATCATGTATTGTTGTTCCTAATGTGGGCAAGGGGTGCTGAAGGCAAATAGGACAGCTTGCGTGCACATTCAGTGAAGCAGTGGTCTCCCTTGTACCATGAACATAATATACAAAGAGCATCTTTGAGGTCAGGCAGGATTAGTACAACTTCCTACTGGCTTGGCCTGAGGGAAGATGATCTTTTGAGACATATGGTAGAGCTTTGCCTCCCACTTCCATCTCCTAAAAGTGGGACTAAACTGTAAGCTATGCAAAGAGGAACTTCCAGGAGGTGTGGCAGTTGCTCACGCACAGTGAGAGTTCTGGTTCGAAACTCATCAACGATAACGTGTATGACAAACACAGCGACTCCCGACATTGAATAGGAGAGTCTAAGCATCAGCTGTATTATGATGTCTGGACACAATCCCATTGATGCTACTCTGGGAGAAAGTCACTAGTATGTATTCTTTTGAATAGTACCTTCTTCAAATAACTGCTATTAACCTAGTGGCCAATCTGTGTTTGAGTAAAATGGGTGAATCTCTACTCTTTCAACTTCTGTATCAACTCTGTTCACTTTCCCACTAAGGTACCAGTCTCTCAGGAACCTGTGCAAATGAGTCCTTTGTTTGCAGCACCAATTTAACATAGTGATAAATCCAGCTTTGTGCTGCACAAGTGTCTTTAGCAAGGAAGAGGGCTTGGGCAGGCCATTCACATACACACAGCAGTAAAGCAGCTTATGTACCTAGCACTCACGAGAGCAGTAGACAAGGAAACTGTCTTGCCTTTGCCCACCACAACCCCAGCACAGCATATAGCCTGTTAGCTAAGGTGTCTGGTCAGGCCCTTTGCTGGCTAGCAAAGGGCTGTGAAATCTTGGTCCATGACTCGGGCTCCTAGGCATTGCAGTTATACAGACAAATAATGTCTACTACCATCTACTGCATGCAGCTCATCACATGGTGTCTGATTGCCCTTGTCCATTCTATCCTGTGGCATTAAGATGAACCCACTCTCACATTTCCAGAATCACTCCACTCAGGGCAGGATTTCACTACCAGAGTCAGTGATATTTCATGAAAACTCCACTCAAATGTGACCTGGCCAAGGGCTGTTATTAAGTGGTCCTTATTACTCCGTGATAACATCTTCCTCTTTTAAAGCTGGAAGAAAATAAACTGCAGAGAGTGTTTCTAATGGAATTCTGTGTCAGACATCTCCAGAAGCAACATATGCTCTGCTTTTTTTGTGTCGTAGTTCCGTACGTTTGATCCCTGCAAGCAGTTGTGGTGTAGCCATCCCGATAACCCTTACTTCTGCAAAACAAAGAAGGGACCACCACTGGATGGGACTATGTGCGCGCCTGGAAAGGTGAGACTATATATCGCATTTTTTTATGCTATTGGGCGTACATGTATGTGTTTGGGCATTTGGGGGATTTCATCAGGAATCTAGGAACAAGATGGCGTTGCTCTTTCTGGTTTGACCTTGTCTGAAATTGTGTGCAATCTGGTCCACTTATTTCAGAGGGAATACAAAAAAGGACCACAACAGTGGTAAGATTGGAGACTAAGACTTATGAAGAGAAAATGTTCACTAGTAGTCCTCAAACTATGGTTCACTGCACACCACCTACAAAAGACTGTCAAAGTTGTGAATTGGGAGGATTGTGTGGATGTGATTCAAGTGCAGATGCCGGTGTCTTGTAAAGTGGTCTACAGAATAATGGATTTGGATAGTCATTGTTATATAGTATAAAAAAGAGAATGCACAAAGAGGGGCTTAGTATCTTAAAACCTTTCAAGTCAGTAGCTCATAATATTTGGCCATTGCCATTTTTCATCTCTACAAACTTTAACTCATTCATCCTCACATCATTCGAAAAAAAGTATTTTAATCTAACTGAATGGAGGGGGGAAACTGAGGAAGAGAGTTTAAGTGTTTAGCTCAAAGCTGTACCAGAAGTCAAGTTGAGAGTTTGCTTAGACCTAAGGCATTCCTGGAGCCCCAGTCTGGCCAAAAGCGTTGGCTTTTGAATTGCTAGTAAAAATCTAATTATCTAAGAGATGGGATAATCTGAGCTGTGAAGAAAAGTCGAGAGAGAAAATAAGGTTGCAACAACATGAGGTCTGGAGCTAGAGATTTGTGTTGATCTGTACTATGTAACATCTGTCTAGCGATCTAACCTATTTTCAGTACCAGTCCCTGTAGTATCTAAGCATCGATAGATCTGTACTTATTTGCAAATCATAGTGATATGGCCACAAGAGGGGTTATTCATTTGCAAACAATCTGTCATAAGGTGTGGTTGTGTTTACACCACTAGTGATGCTTATTGGCAGCCATGGCAACAGAAAGTAATAAGATTTCAGAGATTACAGTTGAACTAAGCCCACAGTAACGATAGTCAGGGCAGCCCAAATGTAAGTATAAGCGTGGGGAAAGTACAGCAGGTGTGGAAATTCAGGCTGGATACCATTCAAAGAGTCAGGTGCCTATGTCTACAGTAGCCCCATCTTTGTTTTCTCTGCTCAGTCTCTCTGCAGGATTCTTCAGTAGGCTTCAGCTCCCTCTTTTATGACACTTCCACAGCTCCTATACCCCTACAATCACCCCTACAGTGCATTATACAGCACCATCAGAAGACCCACAAATTCAGCAGTGGCCATGACACATGAGAGAGGCTGCCTTAGCTTTTGAGTCTTTTGACAGCTGCTTCGAAGGAGGATGGGACTATGAGACCTATTCAAGGGCACCAAGATGAGAGCAGCTAGTGACTATTATGAGGGTAGAAGCCAGGGCCCATTGTGAACGCTATGGGGGGAAATATTGGAGGCTTATTTAGTGGTTTGCAGGGAGCGAAGGGAAATATTAGGAGTTTTGGAAGTGGGGAGAGAAACTTACAGATGGCAAAGGTTTGGGCTAGTTCCTATTCTTTTGAAACTACACTTTATTCAGCCCTACCATATAGTAATTATCAGTTACCCTTTTACAGACCTAACTGCATGCAGCATAATTTATACAACAAGTAAATCATGTTAGTAGCTGCTGCTGTGGTTTGAAACCTCTCTTTTTGGATAAAAATGTCATGTGGTTCTAAATTCTTTCCCCCTGTACACTGTGGTCTGCTGGAACCCAATCTCTTTTCTTTTTCTCCTCCCCAGATGATTCCTATTATGTAACACCATATTGCCTGTGGGAAATGTATCAATAAAACTTGAAAAATAAAATCCCAAACCTAAGACAATATTTTAGTTAATTGGCCAGGACTTTATTTTTGGTTAAAAATATAAAATTAGCTATTTATGCAATTAATAAATCTAACAAATGCAGTATTGAATATAATCTATACTGGAAAATGGTTACTTGTTTAACTGTTATTACTGTATAGCACAAAATTTGAATGTCAAAATAATTGAATAAATATTATAAAAACATGAGTTTTATTCCAAATATGTTGGAGACAGGCTTTTGAATGGACAAAGCACTTCAAAACAAACTTTACTAATTGAACCTGCCTCGGTTGATGAGAAGGATAGAGGTCTCTTCTATTTCTCTATTCTATGACTGTAGTTAAGCATTTTTATGTTACCAGATTGGTAGTGAGCAGAGATAGAAAGAGAACTGGCAAAATGGAGCCATCCATAATAACTCGCAGGAGAAGGTTGAGATTTGACTCCAATAAAAATTATACCCGTTGGTTATATTGAAGATAGTAATTATATTGTAGATAGAAAAGGAGTACTTGTGGCACCTTAGAGACTAACCAATTTATTTGAGCATGAGCTTTCGTGAGCTACAGCTCACTTCATCAGATGCATACCGTGGAAACTGTAGCAGACTTTATATATACACAGAGAATATGAAACAATACCTCCTCCCACCCCACTGTCCTGGTGGGGTGGGAGGAGGTATTATTTCATTTTCTCTGTGTATATATAAAGTCTGCTACAGTTTCCACGGTATACATCTGATGAACTGAGCTGTAGCTCACGAAAGCTCATGCTCAAATAAATTGGTTAGTCTCTAAGGTGCCACAAGTACTCCTTTTCTTTTTGCGAATACAGACTAACACGGCTGTTACTCTGAAACCTGTCATATTGTAGATAGTAAGTGAATTGTTTGTTGTTCTCTTAACAAACTGGCACCTTTTGGAACAGCTGGTACTACTTTATGCATTTGGGATGAAGTCCTGGCTTCATTGAAGACAATAGCAAAACTCCCATTTCACCATTGGTAGTTTACTTCATTAGACAATTAGTTAAGATAAGGGATAGCTGCCATTTTGTCACTTGCTAAGTGTTCAACATTCCTTTCTTGTGTCCTACCTTGAAGCATGTCAGCCTTTAATAATTTGGAGCTTCATATGGAAGAAGGTTAAAAAACCCTGGAACTTCATCTTTTCTCCGACAATAAACACTACTTTGCTTGGTCTTCCATGTTTCACATGGATGGACATAATACACGTGTCTAAGGTCTGTAACATGATTTTGTATTAAATATTTTTATGAAACCAGAGAAAAATATAATTATTTTCCTTTTGCTAGCTCTCCCTTCCTCACGGCCCATCAGTTCATTTTAGTACTTCACACAAAAATTGGAAGAAACAAAGGACATTAACAAACTATAATAGCCTTGCACTTGCCACGATATGGTTAAGGATCAGCCAATGTTTCCATTATAAACAAAGATCTTCAGAATTTTATGTACCTCAGCTGAGATGTTGCATACTGAGTTTCAGACCAGAGAAAAATTTTATAGCTAACTGTATAAATTGGCTATTTTATAGTTCAGGGGAGATGCAAGAGTTTATGCATATTTTGAAGCTTTAGTGGATAATAGAATTATAAACATCTTATCCCTAAGGACACCGTTCCGGATTTTTTTGGTAAACATTTTGTATTCTTCCAAGAGATCCTTAGAAAATTATATAAAATTAAAAAATATGTTAACTAGTATTCAAAAGACTGAGCTGAAGTTTTCTTCACAATAGCATGAGTTTTAAAAGTGTCCTTAAATTTGAATTTGCTGGCTCTAAATTTGAACAATATATTTATCAGGAAAGTGATGGTACTTGGTGGTTCTGAATACAGGCAAATCAGCTAAACTCCCTGCCATCTTTTCCTTGCCTCTTTGCCCTCTATTTTTTAGCCTCTTTTTTGATGCATGTACTGTCATCACCCACTTTGGACCATACCAAGATCTCTGTTCTATAACAGATTATGTTGTGAGGGTGTGATTGTACCATTCACACAGTACATAGAGATGAGAGTCAAGCCCTACCTTTGCAATTTCCTTTTATATGAAATGGAAGGTCACACATTCCTTACTACCTGATCAGAGTCTGAGGAAGAGGAAAATAACTTGAAACTTTGTCCACATATTTTCTTTGGAATAATGTCAGGCAAAAAAGGAACAACCATCAAGAATCAACTAAAGTTGTTGGTTCAAAAAGATCCATTTGTTTTCCATTTCTGAGATTTGCAGCTATCAGCATTAATTCCCAGTCCCCATTTTAAGATGGGCCAATCTAAACACTACTGGTGTGTCATGAAAACATTCTGGCTTTGCAGCGGCCGAAGGAACTGAATGCCAGAAATGGTTGTGATGTTGTTTTGGATACTAACCAGACTTAAAGGACAAAGATTTTCACCAGAGTGTTGCTTGCAGAGTAGTGATAGCTGCTCTCTGAACTTTTCGAACCTCAGTCGATGTTACTGAACAGAATCTAATCTAGCCTGTTCTCTCCTTCACTGAAGGAACTGTCAGGGGACCAAGACTACCTACGATAGAGACAAGATAACTAGAATGTTTTCAGCAGATGTTGTACAGCAGCATAATAGTCTTTGTTCTGAATTCCCAGCCCATATCTTAGACACAGTTCTAAGATTAAGTAATGAAAGGAGGACAAACTGTTAAATTTTCTAATGTCTTACATATTTGTCTGATCAAGCAAGCTTTACCAAAACTCATCCATAGTTTCCAGCAGCAGTCTTTTGCCTGTCAGTTTATCTTCAGATGCTTCCATTTGAAGTCCAATATACTTGTAGGAATTATTGGAAATAATTACTCTAAAGAGTTAGATTTTGCCACTTCCCGCACTTTCAAATGGATTTCCATTGGGCAAATGGAGAAATGTAACCCATTGTATTTTGTTCATTTGCAACAGGCTGACAATTCACTCTTTTTAGCGATGAAATGACAAAATATTTTCCTGGCTTTCTCCTTCCCAGGTGGAAAAGGAAATATTACTGTGAAAAATCCTGCCTTTTGTCATGCAAAGTATTATTTTTTGTTACATATATTGTTTTGCATTGCAGCAAAATCTAATTTTTAACAGCACTGAGGGAGGTCTGAGGAAGGAGGAATTG